ACAAAATTATTAACTGATGAAAAATTAGTGATATAATATTTTTATTAATAAATTAATTAACAATGAAATGACAGTACAAATATCATCACAGCATGAATGAAGTCTATAGACGTAAGAAAATCTTTACATTTTCCGCGCTATATGAATCAATCAAGCTTGAATGCAACTCCTCTGACTCGGGAAAATCGGCTTGGATACAAAGTTCCGAGTGCTTTTTTAATCTTTTTTAGATAAGAAATAGACGAATTGCAGAAATATTCAAAGAATACAGGCATGCAAAGAGAAATTGAACAGGAAATTTATGTGCAGAGCTATTATTATTTGAATTCATTGCATTTGCATGATTAATTAACAGTTTTTTGGTAAGCACGACGTGCGTGGCAGGTTAGAAACTTGGAAGGTCTTCTTTCAGCCTCCTTAATCAGAATTTTCCAGCATCGTGATAATTTTGAATTAGACCATCGAAAATGGGGTAGGTGATCATTGACTTTTCTTCATATATTTCGATGAAGAGATGGAGCGGTCTATTTGCATGACTAGTTTGACTCCAGGCATGTCCAGCTCCAAGGCTCTAACTTAAACTCACATTTTATCTGTTTATTTATTTATTTATATGAGATAGTTTTTATTTACCTTTTGCAAGAAAAAAAATCCATCAAAATTAACTCATCAGAGTAGTTTAAAAGATAACAAAAAATATCCATCAAAATTAAGTCCATGCACACTCCTGCTTACTGGCTTGCGCGCTACATTCCAATAGATAGCCTGATATGTGCATGATGATGAAAAGATAAAAAAAAAAATACTCTAAAAGATATTTTAAAGATTTTTTTCTTTAAGACAATTAAATAATTTTATTGTGCTAAAATATTAAAAAGACTAAAAAGTCATTGAATATCAATTTTATCTATTTTTTATTTTAGGGGTAGCTAAGTAATTTTACTGTGCAGAAAACTAAAAAACTATTATACTCCCATATAATTTGGAAACGACAATCAAATCTGGGGAAAAAATTGTTTTATGTTATGTTTAGTTTAAAAGTTTTATTATTAAAGAGTAAATTCATATTCATATTATTATAATAAATAGTATTTCATAACCAGGCAGACAATAATTTTCTTTGGAGATGTTTTTTTTTCTTTTTGTCAATTTGAAATATATTATATGATTTGCATAAGAGTTATTTACATGAATCTAAGTGGATGGCAGATAAAGTGAAAACATATATAATTGAATATTATCAATGCACTTTAAGCTCAAATGATTCTGGGATTTTTATAGTTATCGAGAAGTCATGGGTTTAATTATTAACAACAATAAGAATACCGAACTTATTTGCACCCATACAGAAAAGATTTCAAAGCAAGTAATATTAATTAAAAGAATTTTCTTGATAAATGTAGTTTAAAAGTTTTTTTAGGTATTTTCCCAAATTTGATATTATAATTAATTGTTGAATCTAGGGATTGATAGTATCAATAAAGTTTTTTCTGTGATTTCAGAGGTACAAAGTCCAAGCAATTAAGTCACAATGGACCTCAATTTCAATAAAAGACATCTACGATCATGTTGCCTCTAGACACTGTCGGTTGTTGCCTCTTTTCTACCTCGTTCATAGGCTGGTCAATTGACTCTCTCAGCCCCCTTTGTTTAAAGTCCTTGCTGCCCTCAGCTAGACTTGCATTTCCATGTGTCTGGTCGGCTGCAACCTAACATGTAGGAAGATATTCACATAGGATGCCCGATTCGTTACCTGGTTGAATCATTGGCCGAAGAAAAAAATGGAAATAATTATTAACATCCAAGGAAGCCTTCAAATTAAAAACATGCTGGGAAGCTAGGCAACTGGGAGCCATTTTTCACGATTCGGCGATCGAGTAGAGTCACCTACTCCGAGCTATGTTATCTTTCGAAGTCGCTGAAATTAGAATTTTCAACCGTCAACAATCTCGCTCCCCTTTATTACAAGACGAAGACGAAATACAGCACGACATGAATTGTAGTGGTTAATTGTTGAATATCTCTAACCTAAATATTCCTTCCTAAATCTTAATATCAACGATCAAAGAAATCTTTTCGGGTGTCGTAGATCATTCAAATTCAGCACTATTTTTTAAGACCGAAGACACATGGCTAGGATTATAACTATGGTAGCGTTTATTATTGTAATGATGTTTATTTTTAAAAAATTATTTTTAATATTAATACATTAAAATTATTAAATAAATAAATAATTAATTAATTTTAAACAAAAAAAATTTAAGTTCTTGCCTAACAATATTTAGGCTCCCTTCCCCACTCTATCTAAAGCTAAGATGATTATTAAAGGAGAGTTTAAGAATGTATTTAAAACTATTTTTAAAAGTGGTTTTTACATTAAAAAAATAATTAGTTTTTAATATGTTTTAAAATATAAAAATTATATTAAAAAAACACTAACTCCACAATCTCAAAACACACGTTAGAGCATATCATCGCTGAGGATGGCTAACTTGAACCTAGAGGATTAGAATTACGAGAAATCTGCTGATATCTATGACGGACCACGGATCACCATGAGTGTGCCTGCCAGCTATACAATAACTGCTATTACCCAAAGATGATTTCATTTTCATTCCTAATATCTGCTGATAAATTGTAGATTCAATCCCGAAAGTAAGTAAATCATTCTCTTCATGAGATTTTTAAACATCAATTCCTTTGAGATGGCTTAAATATATATCGGAGGCCTCCCCAGGTTCGGAGGGGGCTTATTTTACAGGTTCGTGGCCCGACATCAAATCCATTACAGCTCAAAAGCCCAAAAGACCTAGAGACAGGAAGAAACAGGACATCCTAATAGAGATTTTTTCCCAAATTTATTTTCGAGAAAGTTTCAAGAATTTATTAGCAGAACCAGAAAAAAATAATTGTTTCAAGTGTGATTCAAAATTGTTAATAAGTTAATGTAGCAAGAAGTAATCGTGTTTGTCAAGGAGCAGCTGAGATGGGATTCAGATTTACGATTTCATGGAAATAATATTTTAATGCTGTCCTCCATGTGATTAAGATGGTGAAGATAATAATAATGATAATAATAATAAGTTATCCATTCATTGTTGCCTGTAAGATCAAATTTCACCATTGATGGATTTCATCCAATCTATTTTCAAGTAGCAGCTTTAATATTTATGCAGTAAACATAAAAATCGGAGCTTGCTACTTCAAAAATAATTCAATGCAATCTTAACTTGCAATGGTTAAGATGGCTTCTTCAAGCCATATCCAGATCATTCATGAAAAATCAATAGAGCTATCCGAGCTCCTCTAGCTTCCCAAAACAGGAATTTTTTCAACAAACCAAGCAGGCAAGCTAGTTCCTTCTCATTGTGAGATTAAACTGGGAAATGGGCTGCATTACTAGAGTCGATTGATGGAAGATTTCATCATACAAAACTGAAAAACGCCAGACCCTTCCAAAATAACTAATAAAAGCACCAAACGTTTTTCCCATCCCTTTATGATAGTTTTCCTTTCTTGAATTTTGTTCAGCAGCTTTCCCATGCATGTCAAATTTCATTGTCGTATAGTTAGATTAAAAAAAGGTTATTCAATCCATTTGAGTTTATTACTCAATTTATAAATTTAACATATTAAATCAAGTCAATAAAAAACATTATTATTTCAACATGTTAAAAAAAAAAGGTTATGGCAACATCATCCCGAATTTTTTTACTTTGTAATATCAAATTTAATTTTAATTAGATTATATTATGTTTTTTTTTACTTTGTGATATCAAATTAAATTTTAATTAGATTAGCTCCCATCTAAATTAATTTGAAACCGCAGTTAGTTAATAAACCCCAGTTAGTTAATGGCTCAATTTAAGAAGTCTCTAAATTAGGTAAGGCCAGGTTTTGGAGCACTGCAAAAAATTTGTCCATTGCAATAGGGATGTTCTTTAAATTTTTTTAATACATCTGAATCTGGCTATCATTTTCTTAAAAACAATTATTTTTTTAATAAAATTTTAATTATTGATCTTCTTAAAAAAAAACATATTATCATGTAATTAAATAAAAAAATTAAAAAATACTTTAATTTATATTTATCTCTCAACTAACAATTTTGTTAACATTTAATAATACCTTTAATTCTCCATTTTTTTTATTAAACAAACTTTTAAGATTTTAAACTCGCAATAAATTTTTTTTTTGCTACATCGGCAATAGCTATATTTTTTTCGAAAGAGAGCAGGTCCATAGACTAATTCAGTGAAAAGGCAACTAATCAATTGAGTGGGCTAAACATATTTTTTAGGGCAATTTTTTTTTTTTTTTTTTGCTAGAAACCATAACAGTACTAAACGCTCACAAGTCATAACCCTTCATCCAGATCTCTCCTACGTACTCACGGATTCAATAATATGGCCGAGCAGTTTAAAAACATTAACAAGTTCCTGCTATAATCAGACACAATCTGTTTTTTATCGGGGGCTATAAGCATTGCTTTCTCGTTCTTTCTTTCCTTTAATTTAAGAGGCTGAAGATATTACAGCAGAGTTACTTTCTTGATTATATTTTAGTCCCCCATGTATACATGGGTGGAAAAGTTATGTTACAACATAATAAATTGATTAAACCCCAATTCAAGATTTCAAAGGCCATGAGTTGTAGAGATTAGACAAGGTAAAACCTACATGATGGTTTCTACATTCCCACTTGAACCAGAAATTAAAAATTTCAATGAAAGAACAAGCTCCAGATTCCAGTGAATCAACAAGGGCGCTTGAGTGAACAAAAAAAAAGAAAGAAAAGAAAAGAAAAAGGGCAGGGAGTGAAAGGACCAAAAACATTGCTTACCCTATGTCGAAGGGAAAAAAAGAGAACTAAACTGAGGGACTCAATGTTTAACTGAGAAAGAAAGGATATGTATGTGCTCTTAAAAAGCCAAGAATGAGCCAAGCATGCAAAATAATGGCCCAATATCAACAAAATAAAGCAGCATAACCACACCGAAATTAAACTTCACAGCAGGGAATTTTATCACAGTAATAGATTATGAATACAGCAGAATCACAATATTCCACCGCAAGGTGACTTCATAAAAACAAGTCAGGCAAAGTACAGTACGTGTATCAACAGCATTTTTTTCTCCACAGAAAATTAGAAAACAATATTCAAATCCATGGACTGGGGAAATATGACATGATGCATCAAGAAATGGCCAAAATGTACTGCGTACTGATTAGTTAATTGCTGAGTTTAAGCTATCTATTTTCTAAAGACAACTGAATCATACATTTGTCCAGTTTCTGACATAACATATCCATGTTTCAAGAGAAAGAATGGGATGAATCAGCAGTATTCGAATGCAACCAAAATGGATCAGATATTCTAAATCATTGCTATCAAAGAGGATAAGTACTGATCAAGTAAACAGGCAATATCAGAGTCCTTTATTGACTTTTCCTCAGGCCCTCACTTCCTTTTCTAGTAGAAAAGGTCTGATGCGAATCAACATCACAAGAGCCGGGAGTACAATCACTGGCAGAGGATTCCACCATAGTTATATCAGTCGAGTACTTTTTGATCCTCAAGGAAATAAGGATGCTTGATACTATCCCAAGTACGGGAAATAGGTAAGACCAAACCTGAGATTTTTTAGAGCCTGATGCCGAAGCAACAGCAGCACCAGCAAGGCTACCGATGGATGTATTCTGTAGGATCATTGGGAGGCAGCCAATAACTGTAGGGAGTAGAAAATCAATCATGAACCCAACTTTTGTAGCAGCTAGAGCATAGTTTATAACATAGGAGGGCATGGGTGAGAAGCGTGCAAGAAGAACAAATTTCCATCCATCTCGTTCAACTCCTCTGGAAAGGAGATGGAAATATTTGTTACTCTGCACCCACTCCATTGCTGAACTTGAACTCCTGAAAAGTAACCTGAAAAACTTCACAAGCTCAAAGTGGATCCTGAAATTATGTAACACAAAATTGACGTATAGTGAAATAAAAGCTCCTCGCTCCTATGGATATAGAAATATTGCCAAACCAAGTTAAATTTTGTGTTTTTTCTTGTTTGCAATATTCATCAATAATTGCTGCAGGTCTCATAACATGAAACCTAAATCATAATTCAACAAGAAACTTCACTAAGCATATTAATAGGAAGAACACTTCTTAGTGACCTAACTAGGCCTAAACAAAACCAAGTGACAGTATGCTTGACTAGACTCACAACAAGAAGACCTGCAGCTATAAAGCAAAACGACTGAAAAACCAAAGATTTGTAAAAGCACCCTGCATATAGAAATTTATTTCTCATGCTAATAAAGCAAAAAACATAGCCCAACAAAAATCATTCTTTTGAGACATAGAACCTAAGAAGAACTGCCTATTAAAAAGTTGATGACCTGCAATATTAATTTCCATCCAGTTACTGCTTATTCTGACTTTTCACCATTTACAAACTTAGTTTCTCCATTGACAATTAACAGCATCAATGCGCACTGAATTATTTCCCTGATGAGGTACAGATAAATGATGAGCCGTTCTTGAGTGGGAGCATGACATGCCAAGTCCATGTGTGTGCAAGGTACCATCAAGCATGAGTTCAAAGTTACTCGATGACTATGCGAAAGAAAAAGAGCATTAAGAAGTGTAATCACATGCATAAATACAATAGTTGGAAGTCCATGTGTGTGCAAAGTACCATCAAGCATGAGTTCACTGTTACTCAATGACTATGCGAAAGAAAAAGAGCATTAAGAAGTGTAATCACATGCATAAATACAATAGTTTTGGACGAGCATATATTATACACACCGCACCGACTACGATTCACTTTGACCTCTACCACGTCACTTGAAACTGTGAAAAATGTATAAAAAGTTTATCTAAATTAGAAACAAGAGATTGCAGACACGATGGCTCCATGATAATTCGAAGTGGTAACCTGGAAAAGTATCGTATATAAACTTAAAATAATAAGCTGGGATTTTGGCTAAGATGTCCAATAACCCCGAAATTAATACTTTCCAAGTACGAAACTTACCAAGGAATAAACAATGGGATCCAATTGATAGAATTGCAAGAAAATGCGATCAGGAAACAAACCGAATAAAAAGGAATAAACAAATGAAGAAATTTTGAAGTACCTGCCGATCCAGAAGGAAAGAGAGGCACCTAAGAGCTTGGCAGAGAAGACGCATAAAACAGCAGGCAAGAACCCAAATAACAAAGAAGCACCAGCCTCGAAGAAAACAGCGTAAGGCAAGCAGAAAGCGAGAGTGATTGTGTGAATCCCAACGTAAACAGGCATCGCCCATACCCCTAATCGATTTGACCATTCAACAAATAGCTGAAGAGCTGCGTCTTTGTCCCATCCGAATTGTTTGTTCATTTCTCTTGCTATTACTGCTGTCAGCCCAATAACAGCAGCAACTTTCCACCCTTTCCCCATCTCTCTTATTGGCTCTTCTTGCAGTTGGTTCTGCTTTTCTTGATGCCACAAGGCAACTTCCTCTGTTTTGTTGTTGTTGAGTTCCCTCGGGAGACGGCATTAATAGCTCTGTTTTGGGATCATTTTGTGAACAGGAAGCAAAGAGAGGAGAGGCCTGCTTGTTTCTTTCGAGGTTCGTCTTCGCTGGCTTGGTGGTATATGCAGCCTGATGGGTTGGGTTATGGTTCTTTCATGGGCCTTAAACCTCTCCAGAAATTCTTTTCCGAATGCTATTTTCCTTAATCACATGTCATCTTCCCGTGTTCTTTTTATATGTTTATGTCATTTTTTATATTGGTTAATTTTTGGTAAATTAATGGGTTATTATTGTTAGGGAAAATCACCCTCATTGTACTCTAATTTAGTAATTTTTATGCTTATTATCCGTGTTTTAAAAAATGATAATTTACATTCTAAATTTTATTATACACGTAATAATTTTCATCCTAGATCCTTTTATAGTGTAGTCTATATTAGACGTCACAATCATATAAACTTTCATTTCCAAAAACATAGAGAGTAAACTATAAAATAATCAGGCTTAAGTGTACAGCCATGACATCAAGAAAGTGGTTAACTACTTTGGTATGGACGAGGACAAGTGCTGCGTGGAGGATGCTAAAAATGGACGCTCCCAAAGAAGACAGTCCAGTGAGAGTTTAGGTCCCCGAAAATAAGCCAACCCAGGGCCGAGGAATTCTAACACCATATCAAAGCTGGGTCATGTTCAAGCGCTATTAATTAGGCCAAATTAATTCAAGAAAAATAGAGGTGAAAGTTGTAGTTAATTAAGAGAATTGGATCCTTCATTGATAAACAGAGAGAGAAGATCAAGAAAAAGCCCAGTAATGGTGGAAGCGCTAGCCGGAGACAAATTGGACCCTCTCCTGAGAGAGAGAGGGCGGGGGGTTTAAAGACGGTATATATTTTTATAGTTGTGTTTTAAAAAAATAAATTTTAAAACAAAAGGTTATAATTATTTTTTAAATTATAGTTTTAAAATAAAGTTTTTAATAAAACATGCATAAAATTGTGATATATATTGATTAATACAACAATTATAAATATATAGTCTGAGAAAAACATGCATCATATTACACCACGCCACAAAAATAAATAGAGCGGGGGGAAAATAATTAGTGCTCAAGAAGGCATAACCAGGACTATGTTGTAGAAACTATTAGAAAATTGATCTTAAAATATAGTAAATGTGTACGTTTGAATGCAAAGTGAATATGATATCCACTTATATTTTAAATTATAATTTTATTAAAAGTTATTCTCCAACATAAATACTTCAACAAGAACATTAATATATCTAAAACCAAATTTAGTTGAATGAGGAGAAGAATCCTTGGTTGGAAAATTTATATAAACGTGAAGTTTTCAATCCAGAGAAATTAAAATTAGGCTTCAAAGCTTTTAGAGAAAATAGATTATAGGCTAAGTGAGTTTAAAATTGAAGTCATGTATGTGCTCATCTCAGGTTTAAATTTATTATAAAATAATTTTTTTATTTTGTTTTCAATTCATAAATAATACCTATACAAATTCATTGAATCTATTTGATTATTTATTTTTTCCATATTCATCTCAAATATTTTTTTAATTAATAAAAAAGCCACGATTAATTTTCATTAGCTGTGGTAGCCTTCGTTCCCTGTACAAATGGGGGCTGGGGAGGACTATCCAGAACACAGCAATCAACGACTATATTTTTCAATTCTCTCAAGTCTTTTGCATTCGTAAGATGTCTTTTTGCTACCTAGTCGTATTTTTTTTCAATTCTCTCAAGTCTTTTGCACTCGTAAGATGTCTTTATGCTATCTAGTCGCATCTTTTTTAGGTTTTTATTCTTATTTTGCTTGCTTCTATTTAATTACTTATTAGAAATGTGGTGTAAGTTATATTTTTTAAAATTTTATTTTTTATAAAAATTTATTTTTTATATTTTAAATAGTTTTAAAAATAATTTTACAAAATAAAAAAATTAATTTAATATATTTTATCATAAAAAAATATTTTAAAAAATAACTATAATTATATTTATAAATAGAAAATAAACTTTTCAAGATAGTCTAACTTTTTAAAAAGAAGTTCTTTGAATTCTAAAAGATAGGTAGCCCAACTTTTTGAAAAGAAGTTCTTGGAATTCTAAAAGATTGTTTGAAGCAATGAGATTGGAAATTTTGGTAGCCCAACTTTTTGAAAAGAAGTTCTTCGAATTCTAAAAGATTGCTTGAAGCAATGAGATTGGAAAAAAAAAAAATTTTATTTTTTTTTTAGATTAACGTGTTCGGGCTAGATTTTTTTTATTTTTTTTTTAGATTAATGTGTCCGGGCTAGATTACGCGCACCACGACTAATCCCACGGGCCCTGAAGTTAACGACTATATAAGCCTCTAGTGACAATCATATGAGCAACTAAGAACTCGAACTCAAATCTTTGATAATCATATGAGCAACCAAGGACTCGAACTCAAATCTTTGATAGCAATATTTATAGATTTTTTATTTTTCTCACTTGAAATTCTTCAACAATTAAATTATATTTACGTTGTAGCTAAATCTTGTTATTTAGTTTAATATTTTACTATTATATACAGTTTATGTGCATGCTAGAAAACAAATGAATTTTGTTACGTGTTTAGCTTTACATTGATTTTAATTTCAACGCTACAATAAATTAAACTAAACAATTGCAATGTGTTCCTTTCATAAACTAGAGAGACATTATCAACATCTAAAATATTTAATTTTTATTAATTAAAGTTTAATTGTCAAAAAATATAGAAAAGCTCAACAACACTAAATATGAGAAGAAGAAAAATATTCTCTTTAAATAGAAGAAATAGAAAATCCCAATAATATTGAATATTTTAGATATTATAAATTTCATATATAAAGGGACAGTTGCCTTGCCTAAAATATTATATAGTTTAATCATAACAAATATCAACCTAATATATAAAATAATCTCCATGACGGAGATACAAGCGTTGATCACAGTACAATTGAAAAACCTGTTCAAGAATTCAAAAGGTTTCCCATTCAATCTATTGATCTTAGAACCACTCGACGTCGACATTCCATAGCCAGCTCAGGCAACTTTTAGGCAAAACACGTGCATTGATGTGGTCAAAGATTGGGGAGACCAACTCACCCCCCGCACGTTTGGATTGTTTCTACTTCCAAGTGGGGGAATTAATTTGACGACGGTGACACCTAACGAATCAATGATGCACTTTCTCCATTAATCTCTCCTTTTATTTTTCCCCTCAACTCTCCGGTGAATGTTACAGTTACCTAACCCTACTCCAGTCCCGGACGCCATTTTTGACACTTCCATCGTATTTCACATGTCAAGTTGGCCCAACCACCTCTTCGGTTGACCTAACATAAGACAAATCTTGTTTGTCTCGTGTTTTAAAAAAAATTAATTTTTTTTAAATTATGTTTTTAATTTTTTACATTTGTAAATATTAAAAATAATTTTTTAAAAATAAATAAAAATATTATTTTAATAAATTTTAAAATAAAAAACATTTAAAAAAAAATCGTTACCATGCATTCTTTGTAGTGCCCCAAATTAATGGTCAAGACTAGTGATTTGTACTTTTCAATCAAAAGAATATGCTAAGTGAATTGAGAGCTTGAAAGCATACAGTTTAAGACTTTTCATTCAAAGAATCTGATTCGGAACAGCACCGTAACATGAAGCGTGCAACGCTGTGCGCAGAAAGTTGAAAATGCCCACAACCTTCGTTGATGAGAAAAGGTGCCCCTTGTCTTGCTTCGGGCCGCTCTTTGTATCAATGCTTGAAAACTTCATTTTGGTATTTTATAATATAAATAGTATTTTATCATACTCAGGTCTAGAATTAGGATTGATAATATTCGAATAAATCAATTACGAAAGATGTCGTTTTGATTTCATAATTTCTTTTATCTTTTCAAGACCTATTTTCATGTCTAAATCGGGTGTTCACGGAGGGCCTCTATATATATATATACAGGCTGACTAAACATACTCAAAAGAAAGAAATTATTATTTTTTTATGGTATTTCTGAGAGTTCATTATAAATTCGAGGAGCAATCTGATAATTGTAGCAGTTGATTCCGAACCAAAATAAAAACATAATTGACAAGGTGCGAACTCAAAAGCAAAAAGCAAATCATCTAAACCAAACGATGAAATTCTGTAAAATTTATCGAAATAGAAGAAGAGATTATACTCAGAATTCAACTATTCGGGATGGATGGATGGATTCGATTATACTATGACTATATTCTTCTCCCCGAATCTAGAACGAGATCTCAAGATCAGTCACTTCAACGCATCTTCACTTTTTGTAAAATAGTCGGAACGGAGTGAGGTCCTGCACCTATCAAGGAAATGGGATTGTAGAAGTAATGGTAGTTCAAGTTTACACGTCAATTATGTTAAGAAAAAACCACAATCAATGTCCGAAGCAAGAGAATAGATAATAGAGTTTTCTTTTGTATGGCAATCTAGGTAAGTTTTGTCACCGTAATCATTGGAACTCCATCTTTGTAACTACTAATTAATCAACTCCAAACACAAATTAAACTAAAAAAAACTGGGGTTTTTAGAGCATCTTAAATTTGATGATGATTTGATTTAAAATTTGTATGAATAAATTCGTATAGATAAAACGTTTTATTTGGTGAAAACATCGTCATTAATATTGGTTGAAACCTGATAAAGTGGCCATCAATCATAGTTCATGTATTAAAAAAAAAAGTATATTAATAGTTTAACGTGATAAATAACATGTTAATAAATAAATAAAAGGAGATCTTTATCTAAATTATCAATACATAATTCAGAGAATGTTTTTATGATTTCACATGTTTTTTTCTTTCACAGCTTTGCCAGAAATTGGATCCTAAATGATGATTTTGGGAACAAAATTGTCTCTCGATCAAGCTAAATCCCTGAAATAAAATAATATGTCATATTTATGAGGCTAGAAAAATATCATTGGTAAAAAGATTTGAGGTATTTTTCATGGGTTAATAAAATTAGATCTAGAACACTTAATGTGCTAGACAACACCTCCAGAAAAAAAAAAACATTTTAAATTTTAAGTTAATGTAGTTTTTATAC